CGAAACATAATACATAAACCTAGCGCCAGAGTGTCGCTATGGTAAACAAAGTGAATTTTAAAGAATGCATTTATTCTATTGTGGTTTATGCGCTGTCGGCGAAGTAGGTTTAATTCAATCTAATAAGTTTAAATGAAATGCAAGAAAAAATGCGTATAATTTAATATTCCGTACAAGGAAGTCATGTGGTGTACACATCAGATGTTTTCCTTTTGTTTTCATTATACTAAATACCGGCTTATTTTAATTTCATTAAAAACCTCGCTGTTTATTTTTATTGCAGTAACCATTATATAATACTGGAGTCTTTTACATTATTTCCCTTTTTCTTTATTGCATCTTGGCTCTCTTAAGTCTCATTTAAATACTACACATGTTTTTGCTTTTTCACACTTTATCAATGCGTTTTTATTTTCTACTAGTTATTCTGGAGCTGCGTAGGGGCTTACCCATCGGTTCGCTCCCTATTACTGATTAATTTTGTTCATTAATATTTTTTTTTAATATTTCTGAATTTACAAAACAAAAATCATGTGGGAACTAGGGACATCAGAAAAGACAGTCCATGGATTTTGTTTGCTTTCATTTTCGGCTCCGCTCTTGCCTTTAAATTTTTAATTAAAAGGAAATTAGTGGATTTTTTTTTAGTTTCAAGCATAGTTTTGAGTATTTTTGACATTTTCTTCCCCCATTTGCAATTTTCTTGTAAGTTATTCCAATAATTCACGTATTTCGCTTTTTTCCTCATTTTGAAAGCATACGAATAACAAGTATAACATGCTTATACAATGTTATACTTGTTATTCGTATGCTTTCAAAATTTTTATGAATCGTTAACTGTCTGTGAATGAGGGAAACTCGCATTACTAAATACTTCCTTTGAGCTTTTAAAAGCAACTTTAAATATTTATTAACTTCTTTATCTTCACCGCAAAAGCAGCCTCATACAAATTTAAAAAAATTATATATTAAAACTTGTCTTTCGTGTTGCATTTTAATTTCCTATTAATAAATAATATGACAATAGGGGGAAAATACAGGAATCGTGTCAGCACATGTATTACATGCCACGTAAACCTGTACATTTAATGTTAAAAAAAATCTGGATTTCAGACTTTATATAACGCCCAAAGGGGCGTTTTTTAAAAGTTTTGTGTGTTACCTCTATTTATTAAATATCATGTTCTTCGTACTTAAACCATAAAATTCAATTCAACAGCAATATCACAAAATAATTTTAAAATTGCATATCTTTAGAATTTCCTATTGACAGTCTCGCGCACTGGACATAAAAGTGTTCTATTTTTCGTTCAGTTTTGCTATTGCTCGCTTTGAAATCGTTCAGTTTGTTACTCAAAAATTCGTTAAAGTTTTAGAAAATATAAAATCGATAATAAAACAAATTTCAAATTCTAAATTTGGATTTCCAGAGGCCCACATTCGAGGGGAGGACTACGTTACTCAAAATGCTATGTCTCTAGTTAACTTTGTTTTTTCCTAATGCGAGAAACATACACGTATTCATGCAGATTCACTATTCACTATACAGATGCACTATTTAATTTCTTTAAATATGATGCAAGGTTCTAATATTTGGTGGCAACAACTTGAAAAGTGAAATGCCATTTCATAGTGGATAACGCAAAATGCCAAAACAAAATTAATAGCCCTTCTGAGCAAATTGCCCCTTTGGGCTAAAAATAATTGTTTTTCAACTCATTCGTACATTGAAATCTTTATCAATTGTGTTTAATTCACCGAACCATCGATTTTAGTGTCAGACATTCAAAATCACACGAGTTGTGCGCTTCAACATACTGTCTTTTATTGCTCGTTCCCCACTATAAGAGGACAGTACATTTTAATGAGCGTACTGCATTCATTCGACGAAACATCAGCAAAAGTGACTTTCTTCCTCTTCACCCCTCTCACATTGCCATAGTGGGCGAGTTGCTTGCTATCACGTTACAGCTACAAGGAGAGAATATTCATTGTTTACCAATCAATTTAAGATTTAGAGCAATTTATTATTATATTATGGGACGTCAGAAGCGATTTTTCCGTGTTGAGGTTTACATTATACTATGTATTTAAGGGGACGGTGGACTTTAAAAATTAGTTATTTAAGTTTTGTGTTTTCAACAAGAAATTTTATACATATACGTAACAATAGTTTATAAAATATATGTTCAAAATTTTAATTTATTTTAAATTAACAATTTTTAAAACAAATAATTAATTATTTTAATTTAAGATTTAAAATGCTCCCTGCGCGCTATTTTCATTATTTTTTCCTAATTTTTCCTTTAAGTTAGTTATAAAGACTTGATAAAACTTTCTGTGTAGCTGTTATTGAATATGACGGATCAGAAATTTTTAAAAAGGATTTTTGTGAACTTAAACTCGGTTTTCGGAAAAATATCACTTTTCGTTAAACATTATCACAAGTTTGAACTTCTTAATAACTTCATATCACAAAACGCATATACAGATCTACTGTAACATATAACAAGATATTTTCTTTAAAATAACATTCATTTTTAACTAAAAATGAGACTCATGGAGCATTTTCAAGGCACACAAACTGAGAAAAGTTTTGTTTTGAGAAAACCGAATTTAATATGAGAAAAATAAACATATCTCAAATTGGTTCGTGATTCGAAGTTTGAGGTAGAAACAATTTATGCATTATATCCAATGAAGCTTTTAAAACTCACTCGCATCATATGTTTTACCTTCATTTGTTACCTTTACATAGTCTTTTAATGCTTTACAATATTTTTTACTATTTCAATTTTTTTCCAAGCAGGCAAACTTATCTTTTTGCTTTGGTTCAAGCGACGTTGATCACGCTTTTTTGCAATGAGTAGAGAAAACGAGATTGTTTCTTCCTGTTCTAGACGTATAGTATTCACATAACCAAAGTTAAATTCATTAATAGTTGTCAATATTGACATTGCTAGCCTTTTTTAAAGAAATAAATTTTTCTTTTGAGCAAATTATAAATTATTACATCAGTAAATAACTTTGAAATACTTTATTTAATTTTTCTCCAAAATTTAAAGGGAAAAGTTTACGTTTTTTACACATCTTAAGAGCTCTGTTTTTTGCATATAGTTACGTATATGAAATATTATGAGAGTAAAAAAACAAATTCAATATTTTGGTTGATTTTTAGCTATTTTATAATCCACCGTCCACTTAAAGTTGTTAATCCTTCTGAATGTCTTTTCAAGTTCTGTATGACAAAGCAGTTTATTTATTGGCTTAAGTATCTTTTCTAGAAGTTTGCAGTGTGTCTGAAAATAAAATTGAGACACCTTTTAATGAGCATAATTCGACAGAAAAGTTAAACTGAAAAATAAAAATTAAATGCTTTTGAAAAATATCTGAAAAAAGTATTAGGAATGGAATGCCTTTCTCTTTTTCTAAAAATTTCCTAAAAGCAATTACATCATTCGCTATGTATGCATTAAATTCTGCCATCATAAATGACATGTATTGATGAAAGTACAACTATTTTGAGACACAACTGCCAAATATTTGCGTTCGAAAAATTTAGCAGTTGATGAAGTTATGCTGCTAAGTTAGAGTGAGTCATCTTAACAAGCGGTCTTTAAACGAAAAACCACATAAATTAACAAATATTTGACTGCAGTTCTTGATAAACTCATTTATTTTTTTTCACACGGATTCAAAATGGAAATATGGGCCGTTAAAAATGACTACTTGCAGGATTTCTCAAGCAGCTTGATGGGCAAAGAAATCTCATATTAATAATTAGAACAACTAAAATTAAAAATCATATTAAAAATTAGAACAATTATATTAAAAATTATAATATATTAAAATAAATTAAATAATATTCTCATATTAAAAATTAGAACAATTTAAAAAATATTGTAAAGAACTCTGATGTTAAAAATTAGAAGAATTTAAAAAATATTGTAAAGAACAATGCTATTGTTGAACAAAATTAGGATTAAACAGTTTAAAAATCCTATCGAAAAAAAAAAATGAACACTTAACATTAAAAAGGGGAATAGACTCTACATCTGGCTATGGGAAACAGTTAAGTGTTGAAAAGCTACAGTGGAAAATTACTTTATCTAGTTGGCTGAGGCTTGTTTTATATTTTATGAAAAACGGTAAGTGATGAAGAGCTGCTGCGTGAAATTATTTTGGCTAGTTGGCTGAGGCTTGTTTTCTATTTTATTAAAAACGGTAAGTGGCAAAGAGCTGCAGTGTGAAATTATTTTGTATAGTTGGCTGAGGCTTGTTTTTTTATTTTATTACATTACTGAACCACTGTTGTTACAATTGTTCGGATGGAGCTTTTAGAAGATCTTGTGCATGAAGAGTACGATTAAAAACGATATGATCCAGGATCGGCAATATTTCCACGCTCACAAAGATTATCTGAGCTTAATCCAAAGCGATGAAGATAGTTTTTGAAAAAGCCATGTCCTGTTGTAAACCAGGTAACTGAGGAAGAGATTGAATACAATTTTGATGAGACTTTAAGATCAAATTTATATGTTCTTCGACCAATTGTACCAGAAATCCATTCTTGTTGCCACTTTGTCAAAAGAAGTTTCCATGTAAATTTTTAATATAAGAAGAAGGAATGGGATAAGCATAAATAGGACTTTCTACTGCTTCATCTGCTGCTTTGGCGTTTTGATCCGCTAATTCATTATTTAAGATACCGTGATATGCTTTGACCCAGACGAGGTTTGGATTTGGGAAGCAGGAAGGCGTAGTAAAAGTTGTTGTATTTCTTGAACTAGAGGTTTTTTATCGAAAAATTATTATTACTTGCAAACTTGATGCAGAATCTGATTAAATATTTATAATAAATTTTTTAATTGAATTTAGCGAAAGAGCCAGTCGAACTGCTTTGCGTATTGCAATCAACTCAGCTTGTTAGACTGAATTTTTAATTGAAAGCCGTTTGTTTTTAATGTATAACTGCGAAGCATTTTGAACTAAGCAGAGACCACTTCCTGTTCTTGAAGACATTTGGGAACCATCTCTGTAAATTTGAAAATCAGAATTCAAGGGATTTGATGTTTTGATGAAGACGTTTTGTTGAAGATCGAATGAAGCTGGATGAAAAGCATCGTTAGATTGTTGAAGTTCATAATCGTCTGGGTGAAAGTGATCATTCCATAATTCTTGGAGCTTTTGAAGTCGAACTACATTGGCTATTGTTTCTTCTCGCTGTACCATGAGTGGAAGTGGAGGAAGGCCTGTTAGAATCTGAAGAGCAGCCGTTGAAGTGTGAGTAGTACGATAAGCTTTGCTAATTATTAAAAGATGTGGACGCTGTAAAGCATTAAGGCGTTTAATTGCACCCTTGGTAAGATGTGTACCCCAGGGAGAAACTGCATATAAGATGATTCTTTGCATTACTATTTTATACCATAATTTGGAAAAGTTCGAGAGTGAGCCCCGAGAGAGTCCAGAGACCCTTTTCATAGAGTTTTGAAGCTTGAGAGTTTTCCCTCTTAAATATTGGATATGCGGGATCCAGGATAAGCGATTATTTATTTTGATACCTAAGTACAACATATTTTAAATAAAAGTGATTGACTGTCTACTGAGTTTTAAGGTTGGAATCCTTTGTAGAGGACGTTGTCTGGCAACAGAAAAAAAAAAAAAAAACAAACGAAAACCGTAGAACTAGCATTTTTATTTAGAACTTTAACTTGAACTCGACTTTTGGGAGCTTTTATGAATCGACTCTAATCGAATATTCTTGTTTAAATGATTATATTTTTAAACTAAAACTGTAAATAATATTATGTCAATATAAAACTAAGAAAAGCTAAGTCACGTCTGTGATTATTTCTACGTGATAAATGATTTATTAAAGAAGACGGTTGTGTTTTTAATAGCAGCTATCCGGATTGTAATCCAGCATCAAGAAAATCATCAAAAGTGTAAGTCTTCAAATTTCATGAGCCCTTATATTAATAGATTTAACACAAATTGGAATATATATTATTTCATTTAAAAGACACGCAATAATTTGCACCTTCTGATATAATAGCCTCAATAAGATTTTAGATGAATACATAATTATTTCTTACTTGAAATTTAGTTAATCTTGAGCTGTCGTACCGTAAAGTCTTAAAATTTATTTGTGTTATCCACGTTGAAAACTGCTGTTTTAAAAAATCACTTCTGTGATCTCCATGGAATAATTTTAAATCATGGAAATAAGGATATGAATTAATCATGAAAAAACAAAAAGATAAGAAATAATCATAGAGATAAGAAGTTATGATTATTAGTCCAAAGCGGCTTTGTTCCTAAGGGACTACACAAAATGTTAAAAAAACACCCCTTTGGATGTAATTTAAAATCTGAAACCTTTCAGATTTCTTTAATTTTGTATTTTTCATAATTAATTCATGATAAGAAGTTTGATTTTTTTTCTTATTATTTTGCTTTACTTGTTCCAGAAGCTGCTTTATGGCGAAGAATTTCTGTTTTCTTCCTGATGAGAATTTCAAGCATATCTTGTCTTTGCGAATAAATTCTTCAGTCTGCAGTTCATAAACTGAGAGGGAATAGGGTAAGCGTTAATTATTAGCTCGAATCCTGCCTCCGAGATATCTCTGGCATAAGAACACTTCTGTACCAGATCACTTTGCATGGAAAAGAAAAGTATGGAGAATATTCAGTTTTTGACCTCATTTTAATCTAACTTTTATTATACAAAGACAAATTCGTAACTGAAAGATTACGTAAAGTAGGAGTTTGTAAACTGAATTACGACGGTACGTTATATTAGCTTAATTCCATCACTGCCTATTCAGCATCTCCATAACACATTAATCACCCTTTTGGCTTGGTAAATTGTCAATTTACGTGGCATAGATGTTTGACTTAATTTTCATACAAATAGTAACAGAATTAATAATTTTATAAAAGAAATTATTTAGAAAAATGTGCACTTCTTAGTAATATTTAGGAGGTTTTCGATAGAAACAAATTTATCAACATTTATATCATTAACACAATTAATAAAAGACATTTATGATAGTATATATCCGCAGAATTCATACGCTAAATTCTGTTTGGAGAGTTTATTGCACTATTCATTGTATATAAAAGCGCTAAATTTCTTTCATTTTATCTTTATAGAGAAATACTTTTTATAAAAATAACACATGAAAAATATCGTTCATTATTAACAATTAAGGATGTTTTTTAAGACACGTGTTACAGTAAACGCCGCTTAATGTGATAGAGATTAATATTATCATTCGGATATTGTTATCGAATTGCCGATATCTCGCACTTTTATAAATGAAAACATGGAACATTTGTCTTTTATTGTGATCAGTATATGATAAGATAAATTTTTAAAATTTAAATAAAATCCCAAAATGAGTTCAAACTGATTATAAAAATTGATAACTTACTGAGCAATGTCGCCAATTAAAGGACTGAGTCGCCAGACGGCTTGGTTTCGATTTTAATCAATCATTTAAAATTACGAAAAAAAATTCTGATTAATTTTGGTATAGAATTTAAATAACTTTATTAATTTTGGGGGACGATAAGACATGGTTCTCGTTTCTTTAGAGGCAAAACCATTTCTGCAGAACTTTATTTCCCTGTGAAAAAAACATTCTCTGAAATCACCTACGCCAAGCTTTTTTCTTTATTCCTTATTTTAAATTTTACAGTAATAAGTTCTCTTCCAGTGTGGGATGTCCGCTGAATACTTAGATTAGGGGTAAATTATCGTCAAATAACTTCCAGAAGCATTATGAATAGTCAATAAATTAAATTTTGCATAAAAGATATTATAAACTGTTCATAAACGAATGTTTGCATTTCCCTAATCAAAATGATATATTTAAGCGTTTCTGCTCATATTTATATTAAATTGGTTAAATTCTATTGCTATGTTCAAGGATATTTTTTTTATCGTTTGATGTTATCAGAACAACAGTGGACAAAGGTACCCAAAAGGTGCCATAGTTAAGTTCTTAGAGATGTTAAGTTTATTTAACAGTGTTCCTTATTGCTACAGTCACATTTCGAGAGACCAATAATGGCGAATAACAGTAGTTCAGCATTTTGACAGTTTAATTACGTACCGACAGCTACGACAGTCAAAAGCATTTGTTATGCAAAATCCTTCGAAAACAAAAGCAAATCTGGCAAGAAAAGAACCCACTTTGCATTCATGCTCCTGTCTTGTCGATACACGCAGTTAACTTCGTTTTTATGCGGTAAGCTAGTTTTTCTTTCGGACGGAGTACTGTTCTTGCTCAAAGGATTGCAAATGTTTCATTGACGATAAGCCATTATCTTATTTTTAATGTAATCTTCTGGCTGTTTAGTTATGCTTCATGAAGTTTTGTAGAAGAACAAAGGAAAAGAAATGAATAGCATTTTATACACGAAATAAATTATTCTTAGAACAGTAATTGTAAACCAAATGAAAAAGTAAAGAAACAAATTAAATAATGATTGACGTTCTGTTGTTCAGTCTAAATCATATAGGGTGGAAGAGGGGCAACCGGTAACAGCGCACTAAGGGTCAAAAGCTTCAAGTTAATTAAATACTATTTCAAACTGACCTGTTGATTAATAAATACGTCGCAATAATAAACGCGGGGGAAAAACACAACAGCTGAAAAATACAATTTACTTGACTCTATCATAATAAGAATTATGAGTAGACCTAGATTCCAGAAGAGTTGAAACCACAATCTTCCACTTTTGAGAAGTTCTATACCACCCTTAAGGATTCTCTTAGGATTAGACAGTGTAAAGACTTGTGCTCCACATTCAAACCCAATACTTTCATTTTCATATTCTTTAGGTAGCTGCTTCTTTTCAGCTGGGTTATTTGAAGCCATCAACCTGTTCAGTTATCTTCCATTAATTTAAGGGTTTTAATTACGTAGTAATGTGATTAAGTACGCCTTTATATGTTTGTACTTGTTCTTAGAGCAAGACTACCGCTATCAAATGTGATAACGATATACAGAAAAACCTACAGACTTTCCATATTCCTTCATAAGATAGGAAATCCTCTAACGATCTGGAACGGAATGTGAACCTGCAAATGGGACCTTCTTGTTTCGTGTATAGCTCCTGTAGTCTACTACTGAACTATATATGAAAGGAGCCATCAACTCGTATGTTTTCTGAATATCGAAACTTCAATCCCGAAAGATTTTCTTCAAATGTAAACCTTTTAAGAACGTGCCTCCACAAGGAAGAGACAAATAAGGCATTTTTTCCTCTCCAGAATCAAGCAAAATTTTTGTACTGACACATGCAGAGAATAACATCCGTTTTTGTATTGTTGCGATATTGTATTCCAATACTTCCTTAATTAGATAATAATAATTTAATTATCTAATTTGGGATTCCCCAAATTAGGCAATTAAATAACAATAATGTAATTTTTTTTGTCCCCAACCTTTCCTCTTTCTTCAAAAAGTCTTCTGAAGACGCTGTGCATTCAACCAAGTAATGTGACCAGTATTCTCTTCGAAGAAGTCCTGAAACACTAATACAACTCAATAAAAGAAGAAAAATTTTGCTGGAATATAATATTGTTCGGAATTTTTGCATAAATGTAAATAATTTAATGAAATTATATGTGAAATTGTAGTATTTTTTGTATAATGTAATATGAAATGCTTGAAACGGACAAAGCTCTGAGAAAAAATAAGATTATGGGATGATTAAGATTATGGCTATTTAAGATTGAGTAAATGAGCTGTCTCCCTAAATTGGTGAGATGTACCAAACTTATGATAGTTTGTCGCTAAATTTGGCAAGAAATTCGCCAAAGTAGCCAAACTTTGTTACCATTTGGCGAAACTTCGGTCCGGTACCTGTATAACTGTAATTGCTATTGTAATTAAATAACTGTTATTGATCACTTTAATTTACTCTAACCATATCTGGCCTTCATATGCTTTCCAATAATTTTGAGAAGTAGAAGGTACTGAAGATTTCTCGGCGGCAGAGGGAAAAACTATATACGAACGGGGAGAACAGTTTCTGAGTTGTTTAGTTCAGCGTTGAGTACGGAGTACTGAGAGATCTCTATTTAAGCTTCGCCTTTTAAATGCGCTTTGCATTACGCTGTGTTTAACATTCTTAGTATTTGAAGAGTAACTACAGATTGTACTCTGTGATAATGAGAAGAGCTGTACGATTATTTTTGCGGAAATTTCTGGAACTGTAAAGTGTTTCTGTTGGTAAAATAAATTTTATCAAGGTATCAACGATTCTGTGTGCATTGAATTTAAAATTTTATTTCTAGAAATCGAAATCATAGCAATTCTATTCAGAAAGTTCCACTTGCAGTCTGATATCGATTCAGGATTTCGCAAGACTAAGCACAGAAAACTTTTATCCAGTTATTTCAATCTATATGAAACAATTTTAATTTTTACTTTCATGCAGTAAAGTGCATGTGACAGCATGCGAAAGAGAATTCGAGAAAGGACAAACTGAAGCCCGTATACTGATAAAGGAAGAACTGTCAGTTGCAGAACGTGAAATAAAATCTGTAAAATAGGTTTTAAAAATGTTCATTATGGAAAATTTTATCCTACCCAAATCATCATATAATATAAAAGTAATGGAAATTGAAGCATCCTGTGTTGCATTTGATGTTACAAAAACTGGTAATTTCTAGAGAGATGAAGTTAAGTTCCTTCATTTGTAAAAGGAAATCTTAGAAATGAAAATAATTTTTAATATTATTAAGAAAGTTGAAGAACATTTATTAAGTATAAACTTTTATCAAAATAACAGATATTTGAATGAATTTCTTAACCACTGGAAATTTCACAAGTATATTTTAAAGACTGTAGCTCACGGAATTAAACTGTCATGTAAGATCTTGGGAATAGTCTTGATAAGCTATATGGACTGTCTTGTTCCTGTTCTGACTCTACAGTCAAGTTAATAAAGAAGACAAAATTACATTTTCAGCTATACTTCCAGACAGAACAAAGTTACTGCATGAAGGTTTTCGTGTTCCCCCCCCCCATGTGATAAAAGCATGAAACAGTCCTCCATCGGTAAAACTGCCATAAAGCTGACTATCCTGCGTGCTTTGCTACACGTAACATAAATCAAGCTCTTACTGCTCTATTATTTATCTAGACGTCTGGCACCATCCCTTCTATCGCTGAAATATCTTTCCCTCTCATTATTTACCAATTTTATTAATTAACTTATTTTAATAACGTTTCCTAATAACTGTAGGGAATAGATGGCATTTCTTAAATACGAGAAGAAATGTTTTAATTTTTCTATAATTTTCTTCATAGAAATTTAAAACTAAGCAGAGTTTTCTGAAAATAGGTTTACTTTTGTAGAAATATATATATGTTTAATTTAAAAAAATATTGAACAGACTACTGGAAAGGAAATAAATCCGATTTTTTTTTCTTAATAAGCTTGATTATTTACCATCTTTCCATAAAATCACCGCTAATCCCAAGGGATTCCTTTGAAGATGCATTTATTTTTTGCAATACTCACAAAACTTGAGTTATACAATAATCCTTGGACTCCCGTTTAGATATTACTGTTTGCCAAAGAAATTTAGTTCACATTTCAGAAAAGAACAGTATGATTCTAAGACTTTTCCTCTAATCAAACACAGAAGCTGAAATCTCCACAATACTTGTTTGTAAATGGATTAGCCATTTTTTTTTTTTTTTTTTTTTTTTTTTTTTTTTTTCATGAGCAAAAGCATAAAAGGTGTCTGCTATCCGTGGGTTAAAAGCACTTCTCTATTGTTAAATGTTCAGGATTTTCGTCTTGAGCAAGAATTTTGTCTTCAAGAACTGTCAGAAATTAACTGATGCCATATTAAGAGAACCCAAAGGAACACAAGTCAGGCGTTATCCGATACACAGTGTCGCGCGCTGGAGATAAAAATGTTTTTTTTTTTCGTACAGTTTTGTCATTGCTCGCTTTGAAATCGCTGAGATTGTTAATCAAAAATTCGTTTATGTGTTACAAAATATGAAATTGATAATTAAACAAATTTCAAATTAGGGCTTCCAGATGCCCATATCCGGTGAAAAATTACGTTATTCAAAATTTGATAGCTGTAGGTATCATTGTTTTATCACAATCCGAGAAACATGCAAACATTTATGCAGATTCTTCATTACTGAATTTCAGTGAACCGACATTTAAAGTTTTCATCGCAAAGGCCCAAAACGAAATTAATAGCCCTTCTGAGCTAATGTCCTTTGGTTTAACGCAGTATTTGAACCCCTTCTTTTTGGTAACATTTATTGGTGAGTTGAAACTGGAAACACGAGGATTTTATTTTGGAGAGAATTTTCATTTATTGATAACGTAACAACTTTCAAAATCTAGTACAATAATAATAGCAAGTGTGAGAGTAAAATGTCCCTGATAATTTTTTTTGTCTTTTTTTAGGAAGTATTAAGAAAAATGAAACAAACCTTTGTATGTTTTATAGGCGCTTCATAAAAACCGAAATATTACTCATGCAACCAGCTGTGCAATACGTATATCCAGCTGAGCAGGTGAGGAGGAAGTAAATGGTTTCCTTTTGCGACTGGTAATTACAGCTGATTCCTGTACAATAGGATCGTAAATTCAAACTTTGTTTTGAATGTGAAAGGGCTACACTCTTTTGTTGACAGTAAATGTCTCGATTTCTGGAAGTAGCATTTGTTGATGCTTTAGAAAAGGAATAATACATGGAAATCCTTTACAAATATTCCTACTCAAAATAAGGTTGTTGAATGCTAGTTTTCAATCTTAGTTTTTGCGATGAGGCACTCAAATCAGACTATCATTAATTAAAATTAAAAAAAAAAAAGATTCGCGCTTTGAAATCCCGAATTCGTGATTTTGCATCATGCTGATCCCTTTAGATGAACGCATCAAAACTTTGGAAACCTAAAAACCCCTTAAATGTTTTAACACATAACTTTGGAAAGATTGGTTTTGCTAACTTCCAAAAAAAATATTTCTTAAAAATGACCGAAAAAAGAGAAAACGTGATTATTGCAGTTTCGTGGACTTGGGTCACCAGTTATCTCATACAGGAATTGAATGCCACACTCTTAAATTTCTGGAGGAAAATCAATGTTAACCGTTGAAATAATATTTCTTCTCTACACTTATTTTTATTTGTAAAGATGCTTGGAAAATACCGGGTGGCCATAATTAAACTGACAGTGCTCACAGTGTTCTCTAGCGCGATCTATTTGCGAGAATGACGCCACTTTTAGTAGGAAGATAAACAAGACGGGGAACGAAGGATTCCGCGAAAAAAAAATTAGTTCCAAAATTCACCGCTAGGGGAATATTTGACGCTGTGTAATAGAAAATACAGTGTTAACAAATGCAAATTAATACGGAATAAAATTACTTTTTATTATGGATATGCCTTATGGAATATGGATATGCCTTACAGTACGGTATGGAAAATCTTACGAAAGATTATCAACTTCTATCCGTACAAGATAGCCGCGTATATGAGTTACTGTACCCCGACCATGATAAGCGATTGACTTTTGCTCACACCTTTCTTGCCAGAATGGAGGTGGATGATGCTTGGCCGTGGAAAATCTTATGGGGAGACGAGGCCCACTTTTACCTGAATGGAACTGTGAATACCTAGAACTGCCGAATTTGGGATGACAAATGACCACATGCAGTCACAGCCATTCCCTTACTTTCACCAAAGGTAACTGTTTGATGTGGGTTCACAGTGGAATTTATCGTAGGTCCATTCTTCTATGAGAACTTTACCCCGACGGGACCGGAAACCTGTTCTGTTACCGGAGAGAAATATCGCCACATGTTGAACAGCTTTGTCATTCCGGCACTTCAG